TGGGGTGATGGGGTGATGGGGTGATGGTGATGGTGATGATGGTGATGGGGTGATGGTGATGGGGTGATGGGGTGATGGTGTGATGGTGATGGGGTGATGGTGGTGGGGTGATGGTGATGGGGTGATGGTGATGGGGTGATGGTGATGGGGTGATGGTGATGGGTTGATGGGGTGATGGGTTGATGGTGATGGTGATGGGATGATGGTGATCGGGTGATGGTGATGGGTTGATGGTGATGATGGTGATGATGGTGATGGGGTGATGGTGATGGGGTGATGGTGTGATGGTGATGATGGGGTGATGGTGATGGGGTGATGGTGTGATGGTGATGATGGGGTGATGGTGATGGGGTGATGGTGATGGGAGGTGATGGGATGGTGATGGGAGGTGATGGCTGTGATGGTGATGGGGTGATGGTGATGGTGGTGATGATGATGTGGGAGGGATGATGATGTTGGGGGTATAGTGATGGTGGTGGGGTGATGGGGATGGGGTAATGGTGATGGGGTGATGGGGTGATGGGGTGATGGGGTGATGGTGATAGTGGTGGGGTGATGGTGATGATGATGATGATGTGGGAGGGATGATGATGTTGGGGGTATAGTGATGGTGATGGGGTGATGGTGATGATGGTGATGGAGTGATGGCGATGTGGGAGGGCGATGCAAGGATGAGTGTGAGCAGGGGGGTGCCAGGGGGGATTGTAACCCTATTTCTCTCTGGGCTTTGTCTTGTGTACCCTTGGCGTAATTACATCATCCATTACGGCGCCGGTAATTAGTTTGCTCGACTCGGACCCGCTGTTCACATAACCCTCGTTAGAGGAGAATCCGCACTCCCTACCCCACCCACCCCCCACTCACTCACCCACCCACCCACCTACTCACCCACTCACCCACCCACCCACTCACACACCCACTCACTCACCCACCCACTCACCCACTCACCCACCCACTCACCCACTCACCCACTCACTCACCCACCCACCAACCCCCCATCCACTCACCCACCCACTCACCCACCCACCCACCCACTCACCCACTCAACCAACCACACACCCACTCACCCACCGACCCACTCAACCACCCACCCACCCACTCACCCACCTACCCACCCACCCACTCACCCACTCACCCACCCACTCAACCACCCACCCACTCAACCACCCACCCACTCACCCACCTACCCACCCACCCACTCACCCACTCACTCACCCACCCACCCACCCCCCATCCACTCACCCACCCCCCATCCACTCACCCACCCACCCACTCACCCACTCACCCACCCACCCACCCACTCACCTACCCACCCACTCATTCACCCACCCACCCAACCACCCCCCCACCCACCCACCGACCCCCCATGCTACTAACGCGGTGATATTCTGTGAAGGACTGCCATTGTCGATGTGTGGCAGTTGATGGGATTGACTTGCGTGTCAGTGTGTGTGTGTCCCTGTGTGTGTGTGTGTCCCTGTGTGTGTGTGTGTCCCTGTGTGTGTGTGTCCCTGTGTGTGTGTCCCTGTGTATGTGTGTGTCCCTGTGTGTGTGTGTCCATGAGTGTGTCTGTGTGTGTGTGTGTCCCTGTGTATGTGTGTGTCCCTGTGTGTGTGTGTCCGTGTGAGTGTGTGTGTCCGTGTGTGTGTCCCTGTGTATGTGTGTGTCCCTGTGTGTGTGTGTCCGTGTGTGTGTGTGTCCGTGTGTGTGTCCCTGTGTATGTGTGTGTCCCTGTGTGTGTGTGTGTCCGTGTGTGTGTGTCCGTGTGTGTGTCCCTGTGTGTGTGTGTCCCTGTGTGTGTGTGTCTGTGTGTGTGTGTGTCCGTGTGTGTGTGTGTACGTCCGTGTGTGTGTGTCCGTGTGTGTGTGTGTACGTCCGTGTGTCCGTGTGTGTGTGTCCGTGTGTGTGTCCGTGTGTGTGTCCGTGTGTGTGTGTGTCCGTGTGTGTGTGTACGTCCGTGTGTGTGTGTGTGTACGTCCGTGTGTCCGTGTGTGTGTGCCCGTGTGTGTGTCCGTGTGTGTGTCCGTGTGTGTGTGTGTCCGTGTGTGTCCGTGTGTGTGTGTCCGTGTGTGTCCGTGTGTGTGTCCGTGTGAGTGTCCGTGTGTGTGTGTCTGCGTGTGTGTGTCCGTGTAAGTGTCCGTGTGTGTGTGTCTGCGTGTGTGTGTCCGTGTGTGTGTGTCCTAGTCCACGTGTTTGTGTGTGTCCGTGTGTGTGTCCGTGTGTGTGTCCGTGTGTGTGTGTCCTTGTGTGTGTGTCTGTGTGTCCGTGTGTGTGTGTCCGTGTGTGCGTCTGCGTGTGTGTCCGTGTGTGTGTCCGCGTGTGTGTGTGTGTACTTGGGGAGCGGTAGTGCAGCGGTTAGCGCGCTGCGCTACGAACCTGGCAGCCCGGGTTCGATTCCCGCACACGGCCAACACCAGTGAAGAATATCTGAACTAGTTCTGGGCCTCTCCTAGGTCGACTCAGCCTCAAATGAGTACCTGGTACGGTGTGTAAACATCGCCACTGGGGATACAAAGGCGGCCGGGCGTGGTGCTGGCCACCCACCCCGTCGTGTGCCGTGTCGGCCTTCATAGGTGCTCGCTACTCGCTAACAGAACTTGCCCCTACAGTCTGCCGAGGCTACACGGGGGATCTTTATGCGTGTCTCACACAGAGACCCATAGACTCACACAGAGACCCATAGACTCACACAGAGACCCATAGACTCACACAAAGACCCATAGACTCACACAGAGACCCATAAACTCACATAAACTCACACAGAGACCCATAGACTCACACAGAGACCCATAGACTCACACAGAGACTCATAGACTCACAGAGACCCATAGACTCACACGAAGACCCATAGACTCACACAGAGACTCATAGACTCACACAGAGACCCATAGACTCACACGAAGACCCATAGACTCACACAGAGACCCATAGACTCACACAGAGACCCATAGACACACACAGAGACCCATAGACTCACACAGAGACCCATAGACTCATACAGAGAACCATAGACTCACACAGAGACCCATAGACTCATACAGAGAACCATAGACTCATACAGAGACCCATAGACTCACACAGAGACCCACAGACTCACACAGAGACCCATAGACTCACACAGAGACCCATAGACTCACACAGAGACCCATAGACTCACACAGAGACTCATAGACTCACACAGAGACCCATAGACTCACACGAAGACCCATAGACTCACACAGAGACTCATAGACTCACACAGAGACCCATAGACTCACACAGAGAACCATAGACTCATACAGAGAACCATAGACTCACACAGAGACCCATAGACTCATACAGAGAACCATAGACTCATACAGAGACCCATAGACTCACACAGAGACCCACAGACTCACACAGAGACCCATAGACTCACATAAAGCCCTAACACCTGTACAGGATGTTCCCCCAGCGAGGATGAAGAGACCTCCTCTTAAAGGGACCTCAGACTCAGTTCTTTGACATCTTGCCGGGGTCATTCTTAGACGAAGCAAAATAGAAAACCCATCGTCCGACTTCCGACGGCATAGAGGCATGCCCCTGAGACTTTTAACTTTTAAACAACTTTCATTGCCCCTTCTTGGTTCTTTCGGTAAAGTCACGTAGAAGGGAAGTAATAAAATAATAAAAATAAAACATAATAAAATAATTCTCACGACGTTTCGGCCACAACGCAAGCAGCCGTCCTCAGGTGACGCTGTCTTTCCGACAGACCTGTTCTTCACCTGAAGACGGCTGCTTGCGTTGTGGCCGAAACGTCGTGAGAATTATTTTATTATGTTTTATTTTTATTATTTTATTATTTCCATTCTACGTGACTTTACCGAAAGAACCAAGAAGATGAATCCCTGCAGTCACGAAAGCTTTAAATCGATATTTAACTTTTATTGCCGCCAGCAGCAACAGCACTGGAGGCGATTTCGATACGAAATACACAAAGTCACCAGCAACACAAATGGAAACAAACGCTGCAAATCCACGCGCTGTGGCGCTAAAAGCACCGCGCACAACACGAAAGAAAAGCCACGTGGTGGTGGTGGTGGTTGTTGCGGTGGTTGTGGTGGTGGTGGAGGTTGTGGTGGTGGTGGAGGAGGTGGTGGTGGTGGTTCTGGTGGTTGTGGTGGTTGTGGTGGTGGTGGAGGTGGTGGTGGTTGGCAGTGGTGGTGGAGGTGGTGGAAGTGGTGGAGGTGGTGGTGGTTGGCAGTGGTGGTGGTGGTGGTGGAAGTGGTGGAGGTGGTGGTGGTGGTTGGCAGTGGTGGTGGTGGTGGAGGTGGTGGAAGTGGTGGAGGTGGTGGTGGAAGTGGTGGAGGTGGTTGAAGTGGTGGTGGAGGTGGTGGTGGTGGTGGTGATGGTGGTCACGGTGACGAGCGAGCGCTTCAGAAGGTGAACACTACGAGGGTGACGTCCACGCTGGTACAGAGAGGGGCTTTTCCGGCTCCCCAGCGTTCGAAGAAGACGTGCACATCACCGACACGTGTGTGGTACATGGCGTGCTCCAGCCGGAGCCGCGCCTTGAGCAGAGACACAGAGAGAGACACCCAGATCTAGGGATCGAACCCAGGTGCTTAGCAGTGCTTACGACATGGCCATTACGAACTCTCTGAGTCTGAGTAGAGAGAGAGATGGGGGAGGTGAGCCAGACCCCAGGGATCGAACCCAGGTGGTCACCAACACCACCCACATTTTTTTACGATCAGTGGAAACAAGAAGATGCTCGGTGTAGTTGGCACTTTGCTTCGTTCATCATTTTCTAATTTTTTTTATTTTTTTTACTTTGCTTTATGTAAACCCCCCTCTCGCTCACGCTCTCGCTCACTCTCTCGCTCTCTCGCTCGCTCACTCTCTCACTCTCTCGCTCACTCTCTCGCTCACTCTCTCGCTCACTCTCTCGCTCACTCTCTTGCTCACTCTCTCACTCTCTCACTCTCTCGCTCACTCTCTCGCTCACTCTCTCGTTCTGCACGCAGCCCTTCTCGCAGTCCGACGGCCTCTGACGGGTAGCTCGTAACTGCATGCAGAGCTCCCGTCATCTGCCATCGAGCACACGACTCTTCCTTTCCTAACCCCCCCAGGTGCTTTTCTGGGGCAAATGTAACAACAAAACTCAAACCTCTCTACCGGGCACGAGGCTCAGTGAATGGTGAGGGGTGAATGGGGGGGGGGGATGAATGGGGGAGAAGAGGAGGTGGATGAGGGGGGGGGGTGAGCTGCTACCAAAGGAGAGAAATGGTGTAGGGTGGGAGGGGGGGAGAAGCAGAACGAGAGAGAGCGAGAGAGTGAGCGAGAGAGTGAGCGAGAGAGTGAGCGAGAGAGTGAGCGAGAGGGTGAGAGAGAGAGAGTAAGCGAGAGAGTGAGCGAGAGAGTGAGCGAGAAAGCGAGAGAGTGACCGAAAGAGTGAGTGAGAGAGTGAGTGAGAGAGTGAGCGAGAGAGTGAGCGAGAGAGTGAGCGAGAAAGCGAGAGAGTGACCGAAAGAGTGAGTGAGAGAGTGAGTGAGAGAGTGAGTGAGAGAGTGAGCGAGAGAATGAGCGAGAGAGTGAGCGAGAGAATGAGCGAGAGAGTGAGCGAGAGGGTGAGAGAGAGAGAGTAAGCGAGAGAGTGAGCGAGAGAGTGAGCGAGAAAGCGAGAGAGTGACCGAAAGAGTGAGTGAGAGAGTGAGTGAGAGAGTGAGCGAGAGAGTGAGCGAGAGAGTGAGCGAGAAAGCGAGAGAGTGACCGAAAGAGTGAGTGAGAGAGTGAGTGAGAGAGTGAGTGAGAGAGTGAGCGAGAGAATGAGCGAGAGAGTGAGCGAGAGAATGAGCGAGAGAGTGAGCGAGAGAGTGAGCGAGAAAGCGAGAGAGTGACCGAGAGAGTGAGTGAGAGAGTGAGCGAGAGAGTGAGCGAGAGAGTGAGCGAGAGAGTGAGCGAGAAAGCGAGAGAGTGACCGAAAGAGTGAGTGAGAGAGTGAGTGAGAGAGTGAGTGAGAGAGTGAGCGAGAGAGTGAGCGAGAAAGCGAGAGAGTGACCGAAAGAGTGAGTGAGAGAGTGAGTGAGAGAGTGAGCGAGAGAGTGACCGAGAGAGTGAGCGAGAGAGTGAGCGAGAAAGCGAGAGAGTGACCGAAAGAGTGAGGTGAGAGAGTGAGTGAGAGAGTGAGTGAGAGAGTGACCGAGAGAGTGAGCGAGAGAGTGAGCGAGAAAGCGAGAGAGTGACCGAAAGAGTGAGTGAGAGAGTGAGTGAGAGAGTGAGTGAGAGAGTGAGCGAGAGAGTGACCGAGAGAGTGAGCGAGAGAGTGAGCGAGAGGTGGGGGTTTACATAAAGCAAAGTTATAAAAAATAGAAAATAAAAAAGAGAGAAGTGGAGAGTGGAGGAGGAAGGTGAAAAAGAGCGATGAGAGTGGGGGGGGGGTTAGAGAATAGAAGAGAGTGGAGAGTGAATGAGGGGGTGCTGTGATTTAAAGAGAGAGAGTAGAGAGAGAGTAGGAGGGGGGGGGGAGACATGGAGAGAGTGGAGGAGGAGAGGGGGGTGGTGAGAGAGAGAGAGACGCAACTTGTTCCGCTGTAGCCAATTAGCGTGAGCTACATGCGTGCAAGGCTAACGAGCCTCAAACAAACACGCAAACTGCCCCCCCCCCTCCTCCGTCACCCCCACCCCCCTCCCCGTGACCCAGTCGAGTCACGGGGGGGGGTGAGTGTTCGATCTCCCGTGCCGCGCATTTTCCATCACCCCACCCGGGCCTCCTTGGAGCGTTCAGCATCTGCCCAGAGCGGCATCCGTCAGAGGCTTGAATTGGCTGCCAGAACTAACGAGCAATTGATGGAGGCAGCAGCAGCAGCAGTTGCAGAAGTTGCAAGGCGAATCGCGAATCTCTCTGTGTGTGTCTCTGTGTGTGTCTCTCTCACATTCACTCACACACTCTCACACTCTCACACACTCTCTCTCTCTGTGTCTCTGTGTGTCTCTCACACACTCACTCACATACACTCTAACACTCTCACACGTTCACTCATACTCACAAACACTCTCACACATTCTCACACATTCTCACACTCTCAAACGCTCACATTCACACACTTACACACTCACACACTCTCACCCTCTCATTCTCTAACACTTTCACAATCTCACTCACACACTCTCTCGCACACTCACACACTCTCACTCACACACTCTAACACACTCACTCACACACACTCTAACACACTCTCACACACTCACTCACTCACACACACTCTAACACACTCTCACACACTCACTCACTCACACACACTCTAACACACTCTCACACACTCACTCACTCACACACACTCACACACACTCTCACACACTCACTCACTCACACACACTCTAACACACTCTCACACACTCTCTCACACTCACACAGTCTCTCACACTTTCTCTCACACTCTCTCACACACACACTCACTCACTCTCACACTCACACACTCACACTCTCACACTCACTCACACCCTCACACATTCTCACACTCTCACACACACACTCACACTCTCACACACACACTCTAACACACTCTCACACACACACTCACTCACTCTCACACTCACTCACACACTCTCTCACACTCTCACACACACACTCACACTCTCACACACTCTCACACTCACTCTCACACTCACACACACTCACACACTCACACTCTCACACACTCTCACTCACACACACCCTCACACACCCTCACTCTCACACAATGTGTCCGTCTCGCCCGTCACAGCCTCTCCGGGCTAATCACTCACACCCTCACACTCACACACACTCACTCACACTCACCCTCTCTCACACACTCACACACTCACCCTCTCTCTCACTCTCACACACACTCACACGCTCACACCCTCTCTCTCACTCACACACGCTCACACTCTCACACACTCTCTCTCTGTGTCTCTGTGTGTCTCTCACACACTCACTCACATACACTCTAACACTCTCACACGTTCACTCATACTCACACACACTCTCACACATTCTCACACATTCTCACACTCTCAAACGCTCACATTCACACACTTACACACTCACACACTCTCACCCTCTCATTCTCTAACACTTTCACAATCTCACTCACACACTCTCTCGCACACTCACACACTCTCACTCACACACTCTAACACACTCACTCACTCACACACACTCTAACACACTCTCACACACTCACTCACTCACACACACTCTAACACACTCTCACACACTCACTCACTCACACACACTCTAACACACTCTCACACAACAACAACAACAACAACAACCGCCATTCGCCACTAAGTGGCGGTGACGTCACCACGATGCTTGTGCCAGGCCAAGTGCACCTTGAGGCCACGTGAAGTGTCGAAAGCCCGCTGGCAGGAGGTCACGGGGCAGACCCAGGTGCCACTGGTCGACTGACCGAGATGACCGAGATGACTGGCTGATGCACCACCTGTGCCCCCTACTGTGCCAACTTGCTGTGCTTTAGCCACCCGGCGCTCCGCTCGTTGTTGTGAGCGTCGCTCCTCCGCCCTCCGTTGTTGTTGGAGGGCGACTGCCTCCAACTGCCCAGTAGCGTCCTTCACGAGCCTCCTCCACTGAGGCCGATCTTGACACCGCTGGTACCAGTCATCGGCAAGTCCACTCAGCTCCACGTCCTCCTGTACCACATCACTCCATCTCTTCTCTAGCCCGTGCCGCGCCCGTCTAGCCCCCTCGATCCGGCCGAACAAAAGCTGTTTAGGCATGCGGTGGCTGGGCATGCGGGCTACATGACCCAGCCAACGCAGCCTTGCCTGCCGGAGGAGCTCACTGATGGGACTTTGCCCAGATCTTTCAAGGATTTGTGAGCTCCTCACACAATCCAGCCTGGTTAAACCCAGGATGGATCGTAGGCAGGCCAGCCTAAATGTTTCCAACCGGCGAAGATGCTCCACCTAGGGGGGTCCACGTCTCGCAAGCGTAGAGAAGGGAGGGAATGACCGTGGCCGAGAAGACCTGAAGCTTCGTGCGGAGCGACAGACCAGGTAGCTTCCACACAGCGTTACGCAACCGATGAAAAGATATTGCCGCTCGACTGATTCGGAGTGAGACCTCTGCTGATAGACTGGAGCCGGTCATAAGCACACTGCCCAGGTATGGGAAACTCTCCACTCTCTCCACAACTGCCCCATCACCAATTGGGAGTTGTGGGGGTGGAGTGTCCGATGGTACAAAATACCCAGGCAGGTGCTTAGTTTTGGTGGGGCTGATGGTAAGGCCCCACCTCTTAGTGGCACGCTCCAGTCTCAGCAGCAGCGCCTCCAACTCCTCTTCTGAATGAGCAGCTATTACCAAATCATCGGCATACATAACGTGGTTGACCAATAGGGAGCCATCCCTTGATCGCACCCGGGCGTCGATCAGCCTCCCATTATATCTGTACCAAATGGAAATTCCCCCGGTACAGCTATTGAAGGCTTCACGAACTACGCGGTCAAAATAGATGTTAAATAATGTGGGAGCCAGAGGACATCCCTGTCGCACCCCAAGGTGTACAGGGAAAGGCTCCGACTCCCGGCCACGTAGTTTTACCCGGGCCCGCTCACCATCATGAAGGTCCTTAATGATCGTGAGCAGAGGGTCAGGGACTCCGAAAGCACGAAGAACAACCCAGAGTCCAGTCCTACTGATGGTATCATAGGCCTTGACCAGGTCAATAAAGCAGAGATGTAGGTCTTTTTGGAATTCCCTACACCTCTGCTGTAGCAGACGGACAGAAAATATGGCATCTGTGCAGGACCGCCCTTTCCTGAAACCGCATTGGGGCTCCGCAAGCCTCTCCTCAGCGTGCCTAGCAAGGCGATGTTGAATAATCCTTGCCAGGACCTTACCCGGCACACTGAGGAGTGAGATGCCCCTGTAGTTGTTACAGTCTGTGCGGTCCCCCTTCTTAAAGAGGGGGACCACCAGGGCATCCTTCCAGTCCTGCGGAACCCGTCCAGTGGTCCAGACTGTTGTTATGATGTCATATAGGGCAGTCTGTGCACAAACGCC